TTTTTCATTTTAGTTTGCTTTGAAGTTCATATCATATTCAAAATTGTGTGAAATTGGAGAATTTGGAATTTATGGACCGCAAGGACTTAGATTTTTGGACAAAAATGGACCAAAAAAAGGATCCCGCATGTTTAGATTCTAAAAAAAAGCAAATTTTTGAATGTGCTCAAGAGATTTAAGTGCAATTCTCTACCCTGCAGATGATGCCTCATATGTTGGAACATTCGACGATGTCTCCGCAGCAACAGCAACAACAACAACAACAGCAACAGCAGCAGCAGCAAGCAAATCAGCAGCAACCCCCTCCCCCTTTACCACATGGTAATGTTATAACACAACAAATGAATACGCCAGCGGCAGCAGCAGCCGGTCAAATGTCGGCTTCGAAATCGACATTGTCTTCGAATTTACCGCCCCAGCAACAGATGACAGTAACAACAGCTGCACCAGCGAACAGCCAAATGCAACAGGTACTGATCTGGCACATACCAGGGTTACCGGTGCGTTTTGCATTCAGGAGGGTGAATTTGAAAAGCTTTAAGTTGCAGTGCGAGAGGGAACATCTCCTTAAAGCATTTCAGCTTCTCTGGTCCCCGAGTTAGCAATTTCCCTGCTAAAACTTCCACGTGCTGGTACACAGAGCAGACGGATCATTAACTGTTTGAATGGTTTTTGCCTTACATTTAGCTTGTGCATTCATTAGCGTAAATCGTCGTAAATTTTGCATAAAGAAGCATCAGTATCTCAGTGGCAGCTGGTAAGCTTGGAACAATGGCAGATGTAATTTACGTTAGAATTCAGTGCTGCTTGGTTCGATTCCCCGTTAGTGAGGGAACAGACCTTTTCTACTGTTTTTGTTCATTCATTTCGATGATAAGTTGTTGGGAATCAGTACTGGGCCACCGATTATTTTTAAAGAAGAATTTCCCACACTCTCCCAGACGGTTGTTTGCTCTTGGCAAATGCTATCAGTAGTCGGGTTTTTTTTTAGCTGCTGTAGAAAGTGAAACATGGAAAAGATTTTGATTTTTTTTTTTTTGGTAAAAGTTATAAACTTTAAACTTTTGCAGTTTCCTGGTGTAAGCAGTAATACGCAACGCGACACAAACACGTCAATGGGCAGTACGCTGAGCACTGGAAGCCAGGGTAACAGTCAAGATCCGGAAAAGCGAAAATTAATCCAGCAACAGCTGGTGCTTCTTTTACATGCCCATAAATGTCAGCAGCGTGAACGATCAGGAGTAAGTTACTTCTTCTTCGGACCTTGTTGGGGGAGGGGGTGGGGACGAGTTTTTAAAAAGAACATGAAATTTGCATGAATTCTCAGTCCCTCAACTTCCGGAACTGCTCATAAACAAGTGCATG